GTACAAAGAGTATGACTTGAAAGAAACCTATATAGGATGTAATTCGTTTAAATTTGATACTGCATAAACTACTTATGGTTTTGATCCCTCTAAGTAGATTCTCATTTGTCCTTGTAACACCATTAGTCGTAAGTTTATGTAAAATATTATTAATCTCTCTTCTACGTCATAAACCCTGTTGAGGAAGAAGTGTTTTATATACCTCTTATTAATCCCAAGTCATCCGTGACGAAAATGGGACATGTGTTATAATAGTAACATTCATATATTAACCTGCCTGCACTCGGCAACATAAAAGATATCTACAAGATTATTATCATTCTTGCAAGCAAGAAATACATTACAAGGTACTGAACTCGGTTAAAAGCTCACAAACAGACAAGACACATATTACTGTACTTGCACAATCCACCTGTACTACCGCTACACAGTTAAATGAAGTTCAGAATTCAACTTTCTATCAATTTTGGAAATGCAATGACACAAAAAAATTGAATTAATGTCTGGAAAGAATGAACAAATTTAAAATTTAAATTTATGGAATGCTGCCTTAAATCCTGGAGGTGGTGAGCACGATTTCGATTCCCGGCACCACAGATGGATGCCAAGACTTTGGCCTCAACTCGACGATCACCTCTATCACACATGCAGAGCAGAATAGAGGACACTGCAATTACAGAAACATAAATGATTCAACGTTAATAATGGGAAAACTGAAGGCACAAGCACTTAAATAATGAGTTTCAATATTATTCTACTGGATTAAAATATATTGGTTTGTCACAGCTGACCAGAAATGTTTGCGCTACCATAAGCGCATACAATACCATTAATTATTTGCCGGCATTAGTGTAAAACAATTTATTCACAATAAATGAAGCATTCTGTATTCCTTAAATTGTGGGTAAGCATAAAAGTTTGCAATGCCAATAGGGCAAAACTACTTATTAATTATTTGCAATTTATATGGTAAAACACTTTATTTACGATACAAGAAGAATCTACAATATAGATATGTATTCATTCAATTTTGGTTAGAAGAAAAAAAATATTTGCAGTGCAAAAAGGGCAAAACCACCATTTGAAGTATTTGCAACTTACAACTTGAAACACTTTATTCTCAATAAATGAAGAATCGGCAAGATAAATTCAGTGTGTATTCAATAAATTGAGGTTAACAAGAAACATTTGCTATGCCAACAGGGCAAAGTTACTTATTATTTAGTTGCTGTTTTTAGCATAAAACACTTTAGTTAAATTATTATTTGCAATTTATAGCAAAAAAAAATACACGTGTTTTATGAGTATTGACGTAAAGCACTTTATTTATGATGATGGAAGGGGTGAAATGAAATTAAAATTCATTAGGAGAAGGGATAGATTTATACGTGGTAATGAGCAATCTTCTGAGGACGAGATTTTACCTTGGCACCCTCAATGAAAGATATTTCTAGTCAGTGTATATTGACTGTAATTTCCAGGTTAAAGAATTAAATTTGGCAAATGATATTCCAGATAGGTAATCTACAAAAGTTCGTTTTGTATGGGAATGGAATCTGAGAAATATTTCTTAGGACTTGAGCAGTAACAAATATAACCAGTTTCTCGAATTCCCAATTTGCTTGACCAACGAGCTTTACCATACACTATTTCTCACCTTGTTTGTGCCAGATGAAGTCCTGTGAATGCAATACATACAAAAGGTTTGGAGTAAGCTGAACTGCTGAGGCGAAATCTTGCCTCTGGGATGTTTTGCAAACAACTGAAAGTGATCAAGAGTCCCACTTGGTGATGTCATCTTTTGCCCCCCCATGTAGGATTTATATATAGAGCAGTAACTTATCATAGAATATTCGAGGGCTACTGCCATGGTGGTCCCTGGCAGGCAATTATGACAGAGATGCAAGGGAGAGACAGTATTTTAGGTGTAAAGGAAGCAAATAAAAAACAAATGAGAAATATTTATGGGCAAAAATAGTTTACTTGCGAACAATCTCCAGAACGTTCTTTGCGTTGCAGCAGACAGAATTTTAAATATTCAAATAATAAACAAGCCACTTAAATGTATCTAAGACAGGGTAATGACATTTAGGCAGGGTCAACTTTATAGCAAAATTATTAGCAAGAAAAACTTTCATAATGCAACAAAATTGATCAGCAAAGCAATTTTATAATAAAAAATTTGAGTAAACAACGTATCTATGGCCTCGTTCATGAGAAAAAAAGAGAGAGCAGAAAACAGAAAAGTAGGGTGAAGATTTTTTTATATTGGGATCATGCTTTCTACACGTACAAGAATATTAAACAAGATATATTTAAAATTAGCTATAAGCTGAAATATAAATTGCAGATAATCATAATCTGCAAAATGCAAGGAGTGAGAAGTATTTTAGTAAGAAAAGAAAAGACTGTTAAAAGTTATTAAATTAACTAATAAGGCTTCTACTACAGCTTCTGGTGACTGAGCAAAGCACTCCATCACACCATACAGTTCTCAGTGGATGGGGCTCCAGATTTGGTGTACCTCTTTATGTAACTGATACAGGAGCCTAGTTTGAGTCAGAATTATTCCAAGAACAATCCCCCTATGTAGGAATCCATTACCTGCAAACTACAGCGTATCATCCTTAGGGTAATGGAATGGTAGAACGTTCTCGTAGTCCTTGGAGGCAGTTTTAATGGTCAGACAGTAAACTTGGCTCAATGCCCCGCCGGTTGTCCTTGGTCTGTGTGTATGCCAAACTCCTCAGGTTATTCACCTTTCACCCTAGTGGTTGGAAAATTGCCACTTAGTTCTAGTGATCTATACATGAAACCTCCTGTCTCATCAAGTTCTACAGTAAACTCTAAAAACCTTTACCAAGTGCATGAGGGAAATTGATGTTCTTCATTCATCAGACTCTTTAACAATGCTAAGTATTCCAAAAATCCCAAATGACTTACTCAGTGTACCTAAAGTTTGGGTTCGAGTGGATCGTGTCAGAAAACCATTGGAAGCACCATATACAGGTCCTTTTCCAGTGACTGAAAGACATGATAAATAGTTTAAGATATAATTGCCCTCAGGAGACACAGATATTGTAAGTATTAATTGTTTGAAAAATGCCAAATTTCCTAAAGTACCATGTGTAAACCTTCAAAAGTGTCATCATACATTATATCTGTTCCTCAGAGTGAATCTCAAATCTCATTATCAGATGTAGTTTCTAGTGACACCATTGATCCTATATTATCTGGTCCAATTGAAAATATGTCTAACACCTGTGTTCCTACAGACAATAGAAGTAATACTCCTCAGGAATTATCACAACTCCAGTTTTTCCTGATTTTCATTATTTTAACTGAGACTCCATCTACATGGAGGGGGAATCTATTATAATGAAGTGAGATATTGATTACAAGTTGATTAGTGTGTTTACATATATTTAAGACATTATAAACGTTCAAATTTTTTTGTTTAATTATAATTTGCTTTATTGACAATGTGAATTTAATTTTATTAAGGATATGATAATTAATTTGAGTATTTTTTGTTTTTTGTTCGTTGATGTTTTCCCTTGAGGGTGAGCAGACCTTCCCTTTTTGGCCTGCAGGTGAGTAAGATTTGTTGACTGAAGGTGGTATTCACTCTTGAGGGCGAATGGGCTTTCCTATTTTGGCGCGGAGGTGGGGTGAAACTTGCTTATTTTTGGTGGTAATCGCTCTTGAGGGTGACCAGACTTTCCTATTTTGCCTGCAGGTGAGATTGTGCAATACCATAAAGACAGTGGAAAAGATAAGTGTTCAGCTGAGGATTATTAGTTTACATCAAACAATTATTCTTTTAAATGAATTCCTCTTTTGGAGGTGAAAGAGAGTTATTACATAGTTATCTTGGTGGAGGGTATTGACTGATGATATTGAGTAGACTGTTCATGTAGTTGTTTGTTCCTAGTCTGATTATGGAGCTAACAACATGAAGGGTACTTGGATCTTTGCTGGATGTTGTGGGGGAACCAATTTTCCGTCGAATTCCTGAAAAGGAATCACATTCGAGGATGTCATGGAGCAGTGGATGTGCTGAGGCTACCTGGCAGAAGGTGCATTCCCTGATGATATCATCCACTATTCGCTGGTGCACTTGTACCCTAGTCTCAGACGGTACACATTGACAGCCATGCTTCGTCAAAGGTTCTTAGGCAGGGTGATTCGCTGAAGATCGGTGGTGGTTTTGTACCACCAGGATAGCTCAGAGCCCTGTCCACCGACTATTAACTCTCAAAAAACACTTAAGTCTTAAAGGGGCTTGATTTAAGCTACTTAATATATGAGTTATTAAGTATGCAGCATTAGGAAAAATTATTAACTTATCTGAAGTAAATTAATTTGTTTTGTTCACATGTTTATTATGTAATTTTTGTCAAAAGTAAACACTGCATTATTAATATTTTATTACGGGTCCTTTATGATACGTTCCACCCATCCTTGGGGGAATATTTACAGTAACCAATGTTCTATGTTGTAATAACATATTATGGTCTTTATCTAATTTACTTTAATTCTTTATATATCATTTATATTTTACTGCCATCTTTATTTTAATATAATTTACATATATCAGAGATGTAGAAGTACTAAAAATTATCTTAACTGTATTAAGTTACATAAGTTTATTTTTTTTATTGCCATCTGATGTTGTCAAGGTCTAATATATATATATATATATATATATATATATATATATATATATATATATATATATATATATATATATATATATATATAAGGCACTACCAACTACACCACAGAAGGTCTAAAAGGGAAACAGACCTTACAGCTTATATCTGTTATACTAGGAATGATCACATTCTATCTGAATGCCACTATGTTCATATTGCAGTTTCCCCCAACCTCACTCGTGGTTTTGTTTTCACATGTAATTCAACTCCCAATCTCATTCTGGGCCAACAATAATCAAATAAGCACATTACCATATGTGAAATGAAAGCATAAATCATTTTTACCCCAACCAGGACTTGAACCTAGGACATATAATTACAAAGCAAATAGGTGCTACCAACTACACCACACATGGTCTAAAAGGGAAACAGACCTTACAGCTTATATCTGCTATATTAGAAATGAACAAATTCTATTTGAATGCCATTATATTCATATTACAATTTCCCCCAACCTCACTCGTGGTTTCGTTTTCACATTTAATTGAACCCTCAGTCTCATTCAGGACCAACAATAATCAAATAAGCACATTACCATTTGTGAAAACATGAATCATTTTTACCCCGACCAGGACTTGAACCCAGGACATATAATTTCTAAGCAATTGCGCTACCAACTGCGCCACCAGAAGGTCTAAAAGGGAAACAGACCTTGCAGCTTATATCTGCTATGCTAGGAGTGAACGCATTCTATCTGAATGCCACTATATTTATATTACAGTTTCCCCCAAGCTCACTAGCAGTTTCGTTTTTGCATTTAATTCAACTCCCAATCTCATTCTGGACCAATAATATTCAAATAAACACATTATCATATGTGAAAACATGAAATCATTATTACCCCGACCGGGACTTGAACCTAGAATATATAATTACTAAGCCTAGGCACTTCTAACTACACCATAGAAGGTCTACAAGGGAAACAGACATTACAGCTTTTATCTGCTATACTAAGAATGAATGCATTCTATTTGAATACCACTATGTTCATATTACAGTCTCCCCCAACCTCACTCGTGGTTTAGTTTTCACATATAATTCAACTCCCAATCTCACTCGAGACCATCATTATTCAAATAAGCACATTACCATATGTGAAAACATGAACTATTTTTACCCCGACCGGGACTTGAACCTAGGATATATAATCACTAAGCAAAGGCACTACCAACTTCACCACAGACGTCTAAATGGGAATAGACGTTACAGCTTATGTCTGGTATACTAGGAATGAACGCATTCTATCTGAATTCCAGTGTGTTCATATTACAGTTTCCCCCAACCTCACTCGTGTTTTCGTTTTTGCATTTAATTCAACTCCCAATCTCATTCGGAACCAACAATAATCAAATAAGCACATTACCATATGTGAGGACATGAATCATTTTTACCCCAACCGGGACTTGAACCTAGGGCATATAATTACTAAGCAAAGGCGCTACCAACTACACAACAGAAGGTCTAAAAGGGAAGCAGACCTTACATCTTATATCTGCTATACTAGGAATGAATGCATTCTATCTGAATGCCACTATGTTCATATTACAGTTTCCCCCAACCTCACTCATGGTTTCGTTTTCGCATTTATTTCAACTCCCAATCTCATTCAGGACCAACAATAATCAAATAAGCATATTACCATATGTGAAAACATAAATAATTTTTACTCTGTACTACTCATCTCATTGGTAATTGTCGGATGAACTAATAATGTTGATCACAAAGTGACTGGAATAAGACAAAAAGCTTATGGCCTATTTCTATGATGACAAAGAAATATAGCAATAATCGGAGCTCCAGAACAAAGCCTTTTACGGCCTCTCTTATTAGCATCAACGAACCAACTCCTGTCAGTATTGTCAAGTGTCAACTAGTACACAATACCAAAATATACCACATGCCCTCATACCACAAACAACTTTATATTCTCAAGACCTATGTACTACTTTAATAGCCCCAACATATAAATTCAATTGACATGAAAGAAAATAAAAGTACCTCAACATAAACCAAAATAAGACTACAAAACTAACAAACTACCAAAGTATTAAGAGAAACAAAAGTTTATCCTACATCTGTGACATCGTCTTTCATCAATACAGGAGGATTTGTTATCCTCCTAGGACGCTGATCACACTCCTGATCAATCACTGGTGGCTCCTCGCCAGTGTTGTCAACCATGAGGAATTTCCCCCAGATTTGGGGAATTTGGGTTACTAATGAGGAATTAGGAATTTTGAGAAAATTTTGGGGAATTTTTGCTATTGATTTGAAATTCCCTATATTTAGATTACATGCACCAACTTAAATATCTGTGAAACAGACTATTTCTATAACTATCATAGCATGATGAAATGTCTTACTGTAAATTATATGAAGACAAAGATAAGGAATAGATTGTTCACCAAAATATTAATTGGTTTGTTGTATTCTAAATGTTATTTGAGGAATGAAACCTGTGCAAGTTGCCGGGTCAGTAATGCTTTTGCAAAAAAGATGAATGACAATATATATATAAGGATGACACTGCCTCGGACTAGTATGAGTTGTATTGTTTCACAAAAGTAGTCAGATTAACATATTTTCAACAAAATGAGAAGTCAAACTGGCCCATTGGATGTGTGGTCGAGATAGAAAAAAAATAATGTATATCACTGTGACAGAGTGTTTTGCTCAAAGTCACCAGAGGCTGTAGTAGGTGCCTAATTAGTTAATTTAGCAAATATTAACTCTCTTTTCTTTTCTTACTAATATAATTCTCACTCCTTGCATTTTGCAGATTATGATTATTTGAATTATATTTCAGCTTATAAGCTAATTTCAAATATATCTTACTTCATATTCTTGTACGTGTAAAAAGCATGATCCCAATATAAAAATCTCCCTCCTATTTCTCTGTTTTCTACCTCTTCTTTTCCTCATGAACGATACTATAATCCTAGATAGTCTGTAATTTTCTTATTATAAAATTGCTTTGCTGATTAATATTGTTATATTATAAAAATTGCTCTTGCTGACAATTTTGTTATAAATTTGACCCTGCTGATATGTCATTAGCCTGTCTAGATACATTTCAGTAGCTTCTTTATTATATGAATAGTTGAAATTCCGTCTCCTGCATTGCAAAGAACGTTCTGGAGACTGTTCGCCAGTAACCTAGTTTGCCCATGATATTTCTCGTTTTTTTTATTTGCTTTTGCTTGTTACACCTAAAATACTGTTTCTCTCTTGCATCTCTGTCATAATTACCTGCCAGGGAGCACCACTACAGTAGCCCTCAAGTTTTATATGAACAAATTACTTCTCTAAATATATATGCTACAGGGGGCCAAAAGATGACGTCACTAAGAGGGATACTGAATCGTCCTCCATTGGTGGCCAAACATCCCAGAGGAAAGATCTCGCCTCTGCAGTCAAGCTTACTTCAAACTTTATTTTATGTGGTCTCTTCACAAACAAACAAACAAACAAACATTTATTTCCATTTCCATACAATGCCTATTCTTTTACTAAACTAAGAGTACACTTATAAGTAGATAGGTAATGAAGCAAAAAGTGAACAGAAAATGAAGATAATCTTGAGTTAACTGATATGTATAAAATTATACTAACAATAATCATATTGTAATAAAATGTTTACAGTTTAATGGTAATAATAAAGTAGTAATAGTAATACTCAATACAGGATCATTATTATCAGCATCATCATCGTATTTGTGTTTCTTACAATGAGAGTAATTAGTAATTAACTGAGAAATCAGAGAATGAGATATCTATTTACAACAAAAAAATGGTTAGTGTTAAGAGAAATTGCATTAAATCATTAAGTCTGATTAGTGTGTGAGCAGTATCTATTTGTCCAAAAGAAGTCTATATAGTTTGCCTTTGAAAGCTGTGAAGGAGGATAAATTTTTAAGATGTTCTGGAATATTTTTCCAGAGTGTTGTCCCTTTAATAGTGATCATATTTGAACCTGCATCTGTGTTTGTTCTCTGAATAAAGAGCTCACAGGAATTCATCTGGCACAAACAATGTGAAAGAGATAGCGTATGGTAAAGCTCATTGGTCAAGTAAATTTGGAATTCAAGAAACTGGTTAAATTCATTGCTGGTCAGATTCTTTACTGGTCAAGTCCTGAGAAATTTTTCTCAGATTCATAGAAACGAACTTTTGTAGATTACCTAACTGGAATCTCATTTGCGAGATTTAATTCCTTGACCTGGAAATTACGATATACATTGATAAAAAAAAATTTCTTTCATTGAGGGTGCCAAAGCAAAATTTCATCCTCAGAAGATTACTCATTACCACGAAAAAATCTATCCCTTCTCCTAACGAATTCTAATTTTATTTCACCCCTTCTATCATCGTAAATAAAGTGTTTTACGTATATACTCATAAATAAAATGCTTCTTTTTCGCCATAAATTGCGAATAATTAATAATGTAAAGAAAGTGTTTTGCTATAAATTGCAAATAATTAATAAGTAATTTTGCCCTGTTGGCATTGCAAATGTTTCTTGTTAACCACTATTTAATGAATACATACTGTATTTATCTCGCTGATTCTTCATTTATTGGGAAAAAAGTGTTTTGACTTTTAAGTTGCAAATACTTCAAAAGGTGGTTTTGTCCTTTTTGCAATGCAAATATTTCTTGCAAACCAAAATTTAATGAATACATATTTATCTTGTACAGTCTTAGTTTATCGTAAAGAAAGACTTTTACCATATAAATTGCAATCATTAATAAGTAAATTTGCCCTATTGGCATTGCAAACTTTTATGGTTACCCACAATTTAAGGAATACATACTATAATTGTCTCGCTTATTCTTCATTTATTGTGAATAAATTGTTTTACGCTAATGCCGGCAAATAGTGATTACCTAATTGTGATTACCTAATTGTGTTTACGGGAAAGAGCCCAAAGCTCGTATCTTCCCGTCTCCTGATCGGTTCCATTTTATACTTAGTGATACTTATCATACCTGTCCTTAAAACTATGGATTGAGATAGCATTAACTACCTCCTTGCTTAGCGAATTCCAATTATCAACTACTCTTACACTGAAAAAGTATTTCCTTACATCCTGCAAAGAAGTTTTCTTACCAAGCTTCAAACTATGACCTCTAGTTCTAGAGCCAGCCATATCAAAATATCGATCCCTATCCACTCTATCATAACCATGAAGGAATTTAAAGACTGTCACCATATCCCCCCTCACTCTTCTAGCTTCCAGTGATGGTAAGTCTAATTCCCTCAGCCTCTCATCATAACTGAGATTGCGTATTTCTGGCACCAGTTTCGTGGCATGTCTTTGAACTTTTTCAAGCTTAGCTATGTGCTTTTTCAAGTGC